GCTTTTAACGTGTTCAACAACAGGAGATGACGACAGAAGAAAGAAGATGCAAAACAGAACACCACTTTTCTGGCAGCAGCATTGGATTCCCAGAAGGTGAGTAACCCAAAGAGAGGTAAGCCACCACTGGGGAAAGAACGATGGGCTTACTGTTAAGGAGGAAGGGCACTGGAAAAAAGATTGCCCTAGGCTGAAACATAGGAACAAAAACGATAAAAGGAAGCAGGGAGGCTCTCTTGCATGGTAGAAAGAAAGGAAAGCTCATGGTAAAGTGAAGAGGCCCGGGGGCTCCCTTGGACTTGAGGCATCAAATTCCAATCTCCCCACAGGAGTCCCGGGCAACTTTGACAGTGCGGAACAAGTTGATTGACTTTCTAATAGACATGGGTGCAACATATTCTGTGGTAAACACCAAGGTGGCACAGAAAACATCTCAATCCATCCTGGTCATGCGAGTCTCTGGAGAAGTACAAAATCGTTCATTCTTACAACCTCTAGAATGTCAACTAGGGGACCTCACCCTGAAACACATTTTCTTATATATGCCAGAGTGTCCAATCCCTCCTTTGGGACAGGACCTCCTTTGTAAATTAAAAGCTCAAGTAACATTTTTGACAGAATAGCTTGACATCAGGGACCCACCAGAGCACGCTTTGAGCCTACAGATGGGGCTCATGGAAACCCCAGAAAAGGAGACAGAGCTCTTTTCCCCCCTGAAGTCTACGAAAAGGTAAGGCCAGAAGTGTAGGCTGACAGCACCCCAGGGAAAGCCAAAAATGCGTGGCCAATATGAATCCCATTAAAAAGGAATGCTGGGACACCTCATCTAAAACAATATCCTCTGAGTCAAGAGGCCCAAAAGGGAATTCAGCCAATTCTCGAAAAGTTTTTGAAAACAGGACTGATTAAACCTTACAAGTCCCTGAACAACCCCCCTATTCTCCCGGTCAAAGCCAAACTCAGCAGAGTATTGCTTTGTCCAAGACTTGAGGCCTATTAATGAAATAGTCCAAGATTTGCACCCTGTGGTACCTAATCCGTACACTGCTCACAACGATTGCTGGAGAATACAGCTGGTTCTCGGTTTGGGACTTGAAACATGCTTTTTTCTGCATTCCTATTGCAGAAGAATCACAGCAGCTATTTGCTTTTACGTGGCAGGACCCAGAAACACAGGTAGTCCAACAGTATTGTTGGATTGTCCTGCCTCAAGGATTTAAGAATTCCCCTACGGTAAGCTGCTCTTTGCAGGAAACCGCCCTCAGCAGGAAGCCCCTTTCCTTGTCACTTTAGCAAGGCTATATTGTAACTAACTTTTAAACCAAGCAGCCCCATGCTCTACTCATATCTGACCCAAGCACACCTTTCAAATCTTTTAATCAAACAATACCTTACCTAACTTTTCGGTTCTTTCCATAGATCAAAGCAGTAAAAATGAAGAATAAGTAATTAACAGATGACCAGATCTCTTCCCTAGCTTCCCTTTCAGTAAACTCTGGAACAAACTGTGTGAGCAAACTCTGTGAACAAGATAATGTCTAGAGGAAGATCAGAAGTCGACAAGCCTGCACACAGTGGGCGGTGGCGCTAACTCTGACCCCCATCTCAATGATTAACTGAGATTCCTTCTCTGTTTCCCTTTCAAAACTTTGATTTCTGAGCAAAATCTTTGGAGGTGGTTTTGGGCTGAGGCCACCATCTTCCCAGATTGCTGGTGTTCTGATTAAAGGCACCTTTTCTTTCTACCGACATTTGTGAGTATTGATTTTGTAAGCGGCAAGCTGCAGGACCTGATTCATTCAGTAACACTACTTCGTTTGGGGAAATGTTGGCTAGGGACCTCAGAAACTTAATATTGGATGAAGGAGTCTAACTCCAATATGTGGACAATTTGCTCATAGCAAGTCCTACATATGATAAATGTCTATAAGATACCATCAGAACCCTGAACGATTTGGCCAGTTGTGGATATAAGGTCTCCCAGAAAGAGGCCCAGATATGTAAGCAAGTCACCTATCTGGGCTCTTTCCTCTCCCAAGGACAGCGGGATCTTTTGCCTGATAGAAAACAGGCAATTGCAGGCTTGGGAATACCCAAGACCCACAGGCAACTGAGAGGGTTCCTGGGAATGGCAGGGTTCTGTCAGATTTGGATCTCATAGGAAAACCCCTCTATGAGGCTTTAAAGGGACATGATCTTGAGACCCTTACTTGGACTAAAGAGTGCCAAACAGCCTTTGAAACAATAAAAACAAACTTAGTCTCAGCCCCGACTTTGGGATTACCAGACTGAAAGAAACCTTTCAAATTGTATGTCCATGAAAGACAAGGCATAAGTCTTGGGGTGTTAATTCAAGCTCTGGGGAATATCCCCTCACCCACTGCCTACTTCTCAAAACAACTAGAAGAGACTGTTAAGGGACGGCCACCTTGCCTTCGAGTTGTAGCCACTACATGTGACAGACTTCAGGAAGCTGAGAAGTTTACTCTGGGGCAACCCACCACTGTGGATGTCCCTCACCACGTCCTTTCTTTACTGGAACAAAAAGGGGGCTATTGGCTGAGTTCTGGGAGAATGGGAAAGTACCAAGCCATTCTCTTAGACAATTCCAACGTAAGACTTCAGGTCACTTCAGCCCTAAATCCAGCCACATTGCTCCCAATTGATGCTGCACAATTCCCAGAGCACACTGCCTACACTTCATTGAGCTAGTGTACTCTAGCAGACCAGACTTAACGGACCAACCCTCAGCTGAGCCAGATGTGGAACTGTTCACCGATGGAAGCAGCTGCATGGACCAAGGTAGCCAACACACTGGGTATGTGGTGGTAAACCTTAAAAAGATTGTTGAAGCAAAAGCCCTGCCCCGCAGGGAGCTCAGCTCAGAAGGCAGAAATCATTGCACTGACAAGAGCCCTACTCCCACTGAAGGCAAGGGAGTAAATATATACACAGACTCTTTGCTATGTGTTCTCCGTGGTGCATGCTCACGGGGCAATCTGGAAGGAAAAGGGGTTCCTCACTTCGAACAATAAAGACATAAAACGTTCTTCTGAAATCCTGTCACTATTGATAGAGACAGAGTAAAGGGACAAAGTAGGTAATTAAATAGTTAATCCCACTAGGGTATTGTAGGTAAAGAAAAAGGGGTGGGAGACCCCTGTAAGTTAATGATCACTCAAGAAAGCAGGTTTGCTTAACCGCAAAACCAAGCAGGCTTGCTTAGCAATAAAACCATGGAACAGAAGCAAGAGAAATGCCCCAAAACAATAAAACAATGGTGTCATGAGAGCCATATCCTGCCCAGTGAGCTCAGTAAGTTAATGACCTCTAGGACATGCTCTCTGCACACATAAAAAACAATAATTTATGGAAAGGTGACATTTCAAAGTGAAAGACCCTCATTGTACCGAGAGCTGAAATCATTTTTCCATAGTGCCATGACACTCCTGGCTTGACCATGTAGGGACAAGAAAACTCCCCTGCCCAACCTGGAGGATGACCTGATGATGGAACTGTGACATCTACTCAAGAATGAGGAAGAAGGTGGTCTTCTCCCCCTCCCCACTTTTCCTCTGATTATAAAACTGTAGCCCACTGAGTTCTCAGGGTGCAGCACCCTCTCACCCACCCACTTGTAAGCCTCACAAGTGTCCTATTCCAATAAATCACTTCTTATCTATCACTTTGCCTCTCGCTTAATTCTTTCTGTGCTGAGACATAAAGAACCGGAGCTCCCTGGAGCCCCCCGAAATGCCACCTAGTGGTTTCACTGTTAGAAGCAGTCCATAAGCCCTCCCAATTGGCCATAATGCACTGCCCAGGCCACCAAAAGGGTGAAACTCATATAATAGAGGGCAACTGGTTAGCTGACCAAAGCTGCAAAGAAGGGAGCAAAGAAGGCAACCATCAAGCCATGATAGGATCACTTCTCCCACAGACTGACTTGTCAAAACACCAGGCAGTGTATTCAGAAAAGGACAAGGAGAGGGCCGAAGAGTGGGGTTTCACTCTTGACCACACCTCACCTGGCCGGAAATGTAGTGCACAAGGGATTGTTTTGATTCCTGAGATACTCCTGGACACTGTGCTGTAGCACATTCATAATCGTACCCATCACGGGAGAGATGCCACCTTACGATGGATTCAAAAGTATATAATGGGGCCTAACCTACAAAAAACCATCCAGTGAGTCACTCAGAATTGCATGATTTGGGCTAAAAATAATTCAAAGGCTTCTGTTAGGCCTCCCCAGATGGGGACCCAACACAGAGGAACCTGCCCCACTGAGGACTGGCAAATAAAGTTGACTCAAATGCCTTGAGCTGTAGGAAATTTCAGATATCTGCTAGAGTTTGTGGACACTTTTTCAGGATGGGCGGAAGCATAACCCACCAGGACAGGAAAATTCCCTGAAGTGGTTCCAGCCCTCCTTAAGGAAATTATCCCCGGGTTTGGACTGCCTAACACCCTTCAAAGTGATAACAGGCTTGCTTTTGCCTCTAGCGTAATCCAACAAATGACGTCTAAAGCACTACAAATTAATGGGCAGTTACATTCATCCTGGGACCACAATCAACAGGGAAAAAAATGAGAAAATGAATCATATATTAAAAAGAAGCACTGCTAAAATAGGTCAAGAGAATAATTTAACTGGGGATAAGGCTCTGCCAGCTGCCCTGCTATGGATCAGAGTGGCTCCCAGAAGCAGGCTTAAATTAAGCCCCTGTGAAATATTTTATGGTAGGTCCAGGTGTCTACCTGGACCAGGGAATCTGTAAATGCTCTGAAAGATCTAGCTGTTGCTAATTAGTTAAAATTTGGGGCACTATACTGACCTCTCTTCAAGAGTTTGCCTCCAACAGGTCTGCCTATCCAACTGAAGTAGCCTTACATCCTTTCCGACCCAGAGACTGAGTCTTCCTTAAAACCTGGAGGGAACAAGGGCCTGAAGTTCAGCTGACTGCAAGGCGGACAGGACCACACGTGGTATTACTTACCGTGCACTCATCTGTCAAGTTAGCTGAAGAAAAGCCATGGATTTATCACACTCAGATAAAAGCAGCACCACTGTCATCAGAAAATGGCCCAACTCCCGAAAGGCCTAGAGAGCAATGGGTTTGTGAACCCTTAGAAGACTTAAGTTTGCTCTTCAAAAATGATAAGTATTGAGATTGCAATTTCATTGTAACTGGAGAAGGGTGGGTCAACCTACTTGTTTAATCTTGTTCAACTGAACAACACAGCAATCTAGTGTAATTATGACACAGTCAGAAAGTTAAAATTAATAGATATGTATAGAAACTTGAACCAAAACCCCCAAGTCCAATTACAAATTAGACAACAGAAGGACTGAGGGATTTCATCGGGTTCAAATAATTGAGAATTGTCCTATCTACCAAAGATTCTAAGGACTATTCTTAGACTAGAATAGAATATTCTTATCAGCCCAAGGCTGATCAATTCCATTCTACAATCACCCACATCACCCCTATTTAGCAGGAAGTAGCCAGAGGGGTCATTGCCCCTTTTCCCATAAGATTGTGGAATGGACATTGACAGTGGGGAATTGTAATAGGGAATAACAAATCTGACTCCATATTAGATCTGTTTCTTTTACTTTAACCTTTGATTTCTGTTGCTTTTGTTACAAGTTAATCACTAAAAGGATGTTGCCTATAGCATGAAACATACATACTTAATGGTCCGTCTCAGGTAACCCTGCCCCCTCTGCCTGAAAGTTAAACTAAAATACCTTCGTTCAGCTCACGGGGAAACATCCTGACCCAAGCTACCTGTGAATGACTGCAGGAAAGAAGAAATTAACATATCCCCTCCTTGAGTCTGGTGAAATCAGAAGATATTTGCAAAACGTATGGGCTTTTTACTTTACCTCCTCACTTGCCCCCTCTCTGTTCTATAAAAGAAACTAGCATCCAGGGCTTCCCTGGTGGTGCAGTGGTTAAGAATCCGCCTGCCAATGCAGGGGACACGGGTTCAAGCCCTGGTCTGGGAAGATCCCACATGCCGCGGAGCAACTAAGCCCATGCGCCACAACTACTGAGCCTGCGCTCTAGAGCCCGTGAGCCTCAACTACTGAAGCCCGCCCGCCTAGAGCCCACGCTCCGCAACAAGAGAAGCCACTGCAATGAGAAGCCCAAGTACCGCAAGGAAGAGTAGCCCCCGCTCGCCACAACTAGAGAAAGCCCGTGCGCAGCAACAAAGACCCAACTGAGCCAAAAATAAATTAATTTAAAAAAAAGAAACTTGCATCCAGACCCCCTGCAAGACGGTTCTCTAGGACCCTAGTCTGCCATCTTCTCAGACTCCCAGCTTTCCAAATAAAGTTGTTATTCCTTGCCCCAACACCTCCTGTCTTGATTTATCGTCCTGTCATGCGGCGAGCAGAACGAGCTTGGACTCGGTAACAATGAGAGTCAACTTCTCCTAAGATTGCTCAACGTAAATGGGAATCCTGTGGGCAGTGGAGGTCGGGGTTCCAAGTAGGCTGGTCCTCAGGGACTTTGCCTCATTGAGCTCCATTCGGCTGACCAAAGGGGAAAGAGTGGGAAGCCAGAGATCAACTGAGAGCAAAGTGAGAGCGACACAGAGGAAGAGAGAGAAAGGGAGATATTGGAGGAGAGAAAACTGAAGAACGACTAAGACAAAGACCTGGAGAAAAAGACGTAAAAAGAGCTAAAGGGATAAGGAAGGAGGGCACACAGACACACGGAGACATAAACATCGGAAGAGAGACAGAGATGCAGACGCAAAGAGACATCCAGACACAGAGAGAGAAAGAGGCTCAGAGACAAGGAGTCGCGGGCAGAGACATTCAGAGCAAAGAAGGAGAATCCAGAGCAGGACTGTCTACATCTGCGCTCACCCTCACACTAAATTTGTCGGCTAGGACCGCCTGATGCAGCCCAGGAAAAGAATATCGGATCATCCGGACCGCGCACTCCTCTAAGCTAGCTTAGACACCCTCCAGGGGACGGATCCCAGCGGCGGGCATCTTGCCCTACCCTCGTCCAGCCAGTGGTGGCGCTCAGAGGCCGAAGGGGCATTTTCCTCAACCAACGAAGTCTCAGAAGGCTCCCAAAGCCTCGCCCACAAGCACCCTAGTTAGGCCTGGGCTCCTAATCTGCATGGCTCCGCCCACAGAACCCTATCTTCGGAAGCGAGGTCAGCTCGGCCTTTTGCCGGTCTGGGCAGGCCCTGGTCAGCCTACACATTGCCTTTACAAACTCACCCCTCTGCGCCATGAGCATGTCCACGGCTCGCGCTTGCCTTTTTCCAGAGGCCGCTAAGCCCTTCGCCTGCCTGAATACCCAGACACCCACGAATACTTCCTACATCTGAGAGGCCCGCCTCTCGCCTTAGAATCTGAGTCCCATAGGCTGGCCAGCCTGCGCACGGCACTCCGATTGGAAGCGGCGACTGTCCGTCAATCATTTTCTCTCTGTCAGACTCCACTCCACCCTCACGCCCCTGACTTTCCTGGTGGATAAAGGAGGGTGAAGTTGCCTCAATTCTGGCGAGCACGTCTATAGACCAGGCACGGGCATCTATCATGACCTAGGCTGCGAACCTCCTCCAGTGAAGAGAGGAATAGGCTCGAATCTTCGATTGGGTCCAGAGAGATGTCAGTCAAGGGATCGGCGGGTGCAATAGCAATCCGACGCACAGTATTGGTGGAGATACGAAGCCGACGGAAAGCGGCGGAACGGTCGGAGGGGACCGGCTTCGCTTGATTGGGCCATAAAGGAGGCAGTGCCGCCCTCCGTACTCCGGATTGGCTGAACGTGAGCCGCGCTCCCCTCACGCCGGCAACCTTGGGTACGAGAAGTGGCCCGGACTCGCCCCTGTTAGCCGCTGGTGCGGGTGCGGTGAGAACGAGGGCAGAAAGGGCTCTGGGTTCCGGGCCAGATCCGACGTAGATCCGGGAGTGGCGCGCGCCTTCTCTACGGTGAGGGAACACAAGTGGGTGGCGGGAGAGAGGGGTCCGGCCCAGCGAGCGAATGAAGGTCCGCAACCGGAAGTGTCTTCAGAGCCGCGTCGCACCCGGAAGTATGGCAGGAGAGCGGCCACATCCGGAAGTGTGATGCTTCCGCGGCTGCGGGAAGTAATGGTACCTGGCCAATTGAGATACGGAGTTAAAACAGGTGTTTATATATCTTTATTTCCAGAGGCTCGGTAGAGCCTCACTTTTCGGAAAGTGTTGGAGGTTGCAAGTATGTGGTCGTGTTTTTGAATGTCTCATCCTGTTGAAACGCGAGGGGAAACGAGCCCCAGGAGTGTGTACAAGGGGGCCAGGTTCAGTAACAGCTTTTAAGAAGTTTCTTTTGCTGCGGGTCACTCTCCATTCCCCTCCCCCACAGGGATGTGCAGATGGAGGCCGGAGGAGGCACTGCTGCCCCAGCCCCCGGGGACGCGGAGGACTTGGAGGAGATGCGGTTCCCCAGTGGGGAGGCTAGAGACGGTGGAGGGATTTGCAGGGACCTACCCGGTACTGGAGATGCGAGCGTGGAGAAAACAGGTATGCATTCCCTTCACTGGGGTCTTGGAAGGAATCCCTAGTGGGTGTTATTGTTGGGGGAGGTCCATGGGGGACCAGAGGGGAGCCTTTTGGGACTCGGGGAAGTAGTTTAAACCATAGCTTGGGTCAGTGGGAAGTCATTGTGTACTCAGGTTGTAGTTTAAATGATTGAAGAGTGAAAAAGAAATGAATGGGCGTCAATGGATGTTCACTGGGGAGTTGGTATGAATTTAGGTAATGGAAGAATCAGAAAGGGATCCGTTGGGGTTAGAGAGGGGCACTAGGGATTGAGGATGTTAAGGTCAGTGAATGACCAAACAAATATTAATACGGTCAAAGGGGGACTATTTAGAAGTCAGTCCCCCTTTGACCCCTTTGGGGTCTTTAAATCATTGAGGTGGGAAAGGGGATCAGTGGGGGCCAGTGGGCGCTCAGAGTATTTACATCATTGAGGAGTTGATGGGAGTTGTTGGAGGGAGTCTTTAAGGAACCAGATCTTAGTGGACGTTAATGATGATCATTGATGGGGAGACAGTGGACATCAGTGAAATTATCTGGGGAGTCAGAGAACCAGTAGGAAGATCTTTGAAGACTCTGGTGTACGTGTAAAGGTATAGAGTGGAGGATCAGCGGAAGTCATTGCGGAATGAGTGCTCATTGGCCACTTTGGAATTAGTGGATGTTAATGGGGTCATTGGGAAGGATCAGTACACTTCACTGAAAATCAGTCAGTAATTGGGGGGGGAGGGCGTCTTTGAGAGCTTGTTGGCAAGTATTGGGAGTAGGTACTTGGGGACTGTCAATGAGAAAATGAGGGAATATGAGGTCATTGGGATTTTATGAGGAAAGTACTGATACATAGTTTGCCAGTGGATAACACTGGCTGTCACTGGGGATCAGTGGACATCAACTAAAATAAATGGGAGGGTAGTCAGTAGAGGGCAATGAAATTGTGGATTTCATTGGTGAATGTTAATGATGGTCATGGTGAAGGGCAACAGAGATCATTAAAGTCCTGTGTGTAAGTGGATGTTATGGTGGTTATTGTAGGGAGGGGAGTGGATAACAGTGAGAATAAAGGGAAGTCATATCAATGAGAATAAAAGTCAGGGGAGTCAGTGGAGGTCACTGGAAGTCTTGGATGTTAGTAGAGGTGGTTAACGGTGGTCATTCTTGGGAATGCAGTGGACATGGAGTAGATTAAATTGTGGGTCGGGGCAGTCATTGAAGGTCATTGAAGACCCAGGTATTAGTGACGTTAATGTGGGGTCATTGGAATGTTAGTGAACAGCAGTGGGAATGAATAGGGGGTGAGGGGAGTCCTAAAGATCCAGATGTTAGTGGATAATCACGGCAGAATTTGGGTTAGTGGTCATCACCAAGACTGGGAGAGTCAATGGGGTCATTAGGATCAGTGAGAATAAATAAGGGGTTAGGGCGGTGAGGGGCACATTCAAAGACATAGATGTTAATGGATATAATGGTAGCTATTGAGGGGTGAGTAGACACCAGGAAAATAAATGAGGGGTCCGAGACTAATGGGGGAATCATTGAAGATGAAGAGATTGATACTCATTCGGAGGCAGTGGAGTGCTTTGAAGACTTCGGAATGGCAGTCATTGAAAGGGGAATAATTAGTCTGTAGGGATATAAAGGGTTCAGTAATGACAGTGAGATGGGATTATTGGAGTTTTAGGGGGATCGTTGAAACCTAAGTGTTAGTGGATGTCATTGAGGGGCAGAGGAGACACCTGGAGGTCTGTGTCAGCAGCAGGGGGTCATTGCAGGGCTGGTAGGGATTTGGTTGGTCTGTGGGCACATGGGGTTAATGGGAGTCCACAGGCAGATGACTCACCAGGGGCTCCCTTTCAGGATCCGAGACCAAGGACCAGCCACCCGGCCTGCTGCTCCAGTCCGAGGCTCCATCATGCACCTATGGGCTCTGGGGTCCGGCAGCCTCTGAGAACAGTCCCCTGGGCGGCCCTGAGAGTGGCTCAGGGGGCCAGGGCGGGGACCCCAGTGACGAGGACTGGCGCAGCAAGCGGAAGCACGTGTTTGTGCTGAGTGAGGCTGGCAAGCCCATCTACTCGCGGTATGGTAGCGTGGAGGCATTGTCAACTACCATGGGTGTGATGACAGCTCTCGTGTCCTTTGTGCAGAGTGCAGGAGATGCCATTCGCGCCATCTATGCTGGTGAGCAAAGGGGCAGGAGGCAGAACAGGTGACGGTGACTGGGACTGTGGCTGTCTGTCCGGCAGTAGGTCTTTCTGTCTGGCTGGCTGCCTGGGGGACTATCCAGCTAGTTAGGAGTGAGTCAGTGTGTGTGGAGGCTGGCCAGGCATCTGTCTGTCTGTTGGCCCTGCTGGGTTCTGAGTGATTAACTCACTGGGATCTAAGTAACTGGCTGGATATTTCCTTCTTGCCTAAGAGGGTGGGGTTGGGGGCTGTTTGGCTGAGTTGGTGCCTCTCTAGCTCTGTTAGTCCTTGCCGCATCTTCCTCACTCCATGCTGTGTGCCTGATTCCCTGACCATCCCATCGTGTCCCTGCAAATGTCCAAACTCCCCCAGTTTGTCCTTACCTTAGTGCTGTGTCCCTAGAGTGACGGTGTGGGCTTGGACCAGGAGTGTATGCCTTCTGGGGAAGGGTGAAAGAGCCCCACCTGAGCCCGTCTTGTCACCACTGACGCATCTCTACCCCCTGCCCCTTCCCTCCCCCAGAGGACCACAAGCTGGTGTTCCTGCAGCAGGGCCCACTGCTGCTGGTGGCCGTGTCAAGGACGCCTCAGTCAGCAGCACAGCTGCGGGGGGAGCTTATGGCCGTGCACGCACAGATCGTGAGCACCCTGACGCGTGCCAGCGTGGCCCGCATCTTCGCGCGCAAGCAGAACTACGACCTCCGCCGCCTGCTGGCCGGCTCGGAGCGCACTCTAGACCGGCTTCTGGACAGTGTGGAGCGGGACCCGGGTGCCCTGCTGCTGGGCGCCGTGCGCTGCGTCCCTCTCGCTCGCCCACTGCGGGATGCGCTGGGTGCGCTGCTCCGACGTTGCACGGCGCCTGGCCTGGCCCTCTCGGTGCTGGCGGTTGGCGGTCGCCTGGTGACAGCAGCCCAGGAGCGGACTGTGCTGGCCGAGTGCCGGCTGGACCCAGCCGACCTGCAGTTGCTGCTGGACTGGGTGGGGGCACCGGCCTTTGCGGCGGGCGAGGCCTGGGCGCCTGTGTGCCTGCCCCGCTTCAATCCCGATGGTTTCTTTTACGCCTACGTGGCCCGCCTGGACGCCTTGCCTGTCTGCCTGCTGCTGCTCGGCACCGACCCCGAGGCCTTCCATGACATGGCCACCTGCCGGCGCCTGGTCGAGGACGGCATGCACTCCCTTGGGGCCATGCGCACCCTCAGGGAAGCTGCCAGCTTCTCCAACACTCCATCGGCCGGTGCCTCGGCCTACAGTGTGCAGGCTGTGGAGGCCGCCGGCCTCCGGCACTTCCTCTATAAGCCGCTGGACATCCCCGACCATCACCGCCAGCTGCCCCAGTTTACCAGGTGGGCCCCTACCCTGCAGGCAAGTGGCCCGGTGGGAAGGCTTATCTAACTGGAAGGTTCGGCAACTCATAGACATGAGTCTGGAGAGAGAGCCAGCCATGCTCTAGAGAGATGCAATAGAATGGGCCTGCCCGATGCGGGAGGCTCAGCCAGCAGCCTCGAGAATTCCCCTGTTCTGATGGAGAGGAGGGCCCCAGGACTCAAGGAATCCCCAAGTCTGATGGGGAGCTTAGGCCCTGTGAAGCCTTCAGTCTAATGGGGGAGGCTCAGCTCCTAACTTAACTGAACTCCCTAGACTGAGGGGAGATAGGCCAGCCAAGAAAGCCCTAGACTGACCTTGTCCCCCACCACCGTCCATCACTGCAGCCCCGAGCTGGAGGCCCCATACAGCAGACAGGAGGAGCGACAGCGCCTGTCCGACCTGTACCACCGCCTGCACGCGCGCCTCCACAACAGCTCCCGGCCCCTGCGCCTCATTTACCACGTGGCTGAGAAGGAGACGCTACTGGCCTGGGTGAGTTGAGTGGGGGGCTCTGAAGGAGTTAACTGCCCCACTTCAAGCCTTCTTTCCCTCCCCTGTATCCCCTCCAGCTGTGACGGCCTCCTTCAAGTGCACCACGCCTTGGCCTGGGCTGCGGTTCTGCCTCCAGAAGTGTCCTGGCCACTCCGTGTGTCTGTGAAACCCAGCAGTTGCAGTGCCCAGAACCTTTAGTTCCATCATTCTGTTGACCATTCCCTCGGTCAACAGTAACCATCTGGTAAATACCAGAGAAACAACCAGTAGAGAGTCTGGTGGTTTTTTGGGTTTTTTTCTGGAAAAACAAATTTATTTTTAAAATTTTAAAATTACTGAAAACATTTTAAATGTTCTAAGTAGCAGTAACTGTCTCTATCAGACAATACAAGTGTGAAAATTACTAGCAGAAATATGGAAAGACGCATACTATTTCAGGTAAAATTGAAATACAGAGTTTTCTGAATTTCATTCAATAACGTGTTTCCAGATATTAGGATCTTCTGCCATCATGTGGAAATTTTTGAAATTACAGTTACACAAAAAATTCCTGTATCTGACTGGAGTATTCCAGTCAATACTAGAAGGAATAAATGAATCCAGTTGTAAACAAGGTAAATATTCTTACAAGAATTTAGTGAAAATTACCATGCACAGTTGCTCCTCGTTTCTGTCTTCTTCCAGAGAGAAGATGGTGTTCACTGTAGCTTAAGGAAACTGCATGACAGACACTCAACTTCTTTTTGTTTCCAAGATTCTTAGCAGTTATGCCTAGGACTCTCCCAGCTCACGATCTTAAATTTCTTAAATACTCTTTAATTATCTCTTTCCATTCTTAGGCACTTAAAACACAAAAGTGCCAAATCTGAATTTGTTCTTCACATAAAACAGAAATTAAGTTTTCTTCTTTTTAGACACATGCATTGACACTTGTAGAAAAACCACCAGTCTACAGTAGAGTGTCTCCTGGTTAGCCACCAGTAGAGTGTCTTTGACTTTCAAGAGGCCCCGTTATCCACCATCACTGTGCTCGCCGATTTCCCATGAGCCCCGCCCACGTGTCTGCAGGTACCAGTTGAGCTTTGACGCCATGAGTTCCCAGCGCTCTTGAACACTACAGGCTTGGTCCCCTGCTGTGCCTTCCACCTGGGGTATCCTTCCCTGGGGTCTCTTCAGGGCTCCTGTCCTCACTTCCTATGGGTCTATTCAAGGTCAGCTTCAGGGAGTTTGGTCACGTGACCCCACGAGAAACGGCACTTTCCCCTAGATTCTGCTATTTAGTGCATATTTATTAAATCATTTATTTGCATGCCTGTTATGTATCAGGCATTGTTCTAGGCTGAGAATTTTATTTAATCAAAAGAAATTTCTTTAGCTTTCATTTTCAAGCAATTTTAGACTTACAAAGAAGTTGCAAGAAGTTACTTTAAATAGGTCCTTCACGTAGTTTCTCCAGATGTTAACATAACCACAGGAACTCATTAAATCAGGGAATTAACATCAGTACAATCACATCTTATCCACAGACCTCATTCAGACTTCACCACTTGTCCCACTAATATCCTTTTACTGGTCCAGAATCCAGTCCAGGATCACATATTAGATTTGCTTATTGTGTCTCCCTAGACTCGTTTATGCTGGAACATTTCCTCCGTCGTTTTTTTGTCTTTTATGACTTGGGCACTTTTAGAAAGTACCAGCCAGTTAGTTTGTAGAATGTCCCTCAACTTGGGTTTTTCTAATATTTTATCAAGACTAAATTGAGGTCATGCATTTTCGGCAAGTGTATCACAGAAGTGATGTTGTGTCCTTTTCTGCTTCCTATCAGGAGGACCACAATGTCACTGTATCCCATTGATGATGTTAACTTCTGTCACTTCATTAAGGTGGTAGCTGCCGGGTTTCTCCACTTTAAAGTTAGGTGTTTTTGCCCTTTGTAATTAGTAAATATCTTGTGGTGATTTTGTAATTAGTAAATATCTTGTGGTGATTATGTCAGTGTTCTCTTTTTCACCGTATTTTCATCCCCTAATTTTAATATCCATTAATGATTTTTGCCTTTGACAGTTGTTTCTCCGGTATTTACCAGATGGTTACTTTTCTAACTCCATCATAACTTCATTTATTGGTTGAGATTCTACTGTATGGAAGAACTTTCCCTGCTCCTATTTGTTGAATTTTGAATTTTATATTATGGAATTTTCTTGAATTCATTGGGCTAAAGTCTTTTCCTTTCATTTGTTTTTGTGCTCAGATTGTCTCTGAGTTAGCCAGCAGGAGCCATGATGCAGCCAGACTGGCCCCTGTATCTTTTTGACACGTCTGCGTGACCGCTTAAGCACTTCTTACTTTCTGGCACAAGATATTCCAAGCTCATTTTGTACTTTCTCTGTGCCAGTCCTGAAATTGGCCATCTGTCCAATGAGCCCTTGTACCTTTCAGTGGAGGACGGTATTTCAAAAACAAGATCTGGTAGGCCCAGGATTTTAAATCGGGTGGTCAGGAAATGACATCCACGTAGGAAGGGAGGTCCCAGGTCGTGTGGGTATCTCCAGGAACAGTACACCTGGCAGAGGGAAAGGACTGTGCAAATGCCATGAGGTGAGGCTGAGCCTGGTTATGTTTGAGGAATAGCAAGGAGAGGCTAGAGTGGCTGGAACAGAGAGCGAGGGGGAGAGCAGAGGGAGGTGATGTGGAAAGGTGCTGGTGACCTGGTCAGGTTAAGCCTCTCAGGTTGGAATGAAGATTAAATTGCGTTAATCCTCCTATTATGCCCAGGCTACAGATGATAAAAACAGGTGTGTGGAGCTTAGAACAGGACTTTGTATACAACCATTGCTCATTAAACGTTAAGCATTGTTGTCACCATCCCCAGTGCACACATGAGTGAACTGAGGTCCAAAGAGTGTACATACACACACACAGAGCCAGCATCACCCAGCTGAAGCCACTAGATCTCGCTGATCCCTTGGCCCACTCATGATACGATAGCATCAGCTTACCCACTTTAGCCCAGTGACCAGGCAGCACCAAGGAGGAGCTGCTGCCAGGTGCACCTTCCAAATGGGACAGGTATGGGACTAGGGTGGGGTGGACAGCACCGGGCATGGCCAGCTCCGGCCCAGCTGACCCTGTCTCCTCTCAAACCCCCAGGTGACCTCCAAATTTGAGCTGTACACCTGCCTCAGCCCCCTGGTGACCAAGGCAGGTGCCATCCTCGTAGTGACCAAACTCCTGCGTTGGGTGAAGAAAGAGGAGGATCGTCTGTTCATTCGTTACCCACCCAAGTACTCCACGCCCCCTGCAGCCCCAGCTGCCTCCGCGGACCAAGCTTCCCATAACGGCCTGTTTACTGGACCTTGAGAGGCGGAGCTCCCAGACTGTGCCGTGTGGGGAAGCACCACCTTTGGCTTTTACTTCCTGTCTCCACCCTGGAAATGGGCGCGGGGGGGGGGGGGGGGGGGGGGGGAGGGGGGTTTGCTGGTGGTGGTGTCTGTGGCTGGTCCCTGTCTCCCCGGGCAATGGAGCGAGATCTGGGGGGCTGCCCACACATGAGAGATGGGTGGCAGTGTGACTGCACATAGGTGAGCTGCTTCCCCAGCCCCCTTCTGCCCCCCCACCGCTGGGGAAATCCTTAGGACTCCCTCTCCCCCTCCCTCTGCCACACCTCCTTCACTTGGATGATGCTGCAGCCTCTATCAGGGGCCGTCTCCTCCAGTCCTGGGCACCACACCCTCCGTCCTGCATCAGGGGTTTGCCTCCCCCACGGGATCTCAGCCCTGAGGGTCCAGGGTCTCCTTGGGTGGCCCACGGGGGTTCTGGAATTGGAATGCAGGACCAGCCCGTGCCCAGAAACGGCCTGAAGATATTTTAAAGAAAAAAACTGCATATAAAAAGCCTAAAACCGACCCCCATAAGGACATTCCTTTGTGCTTCACGTACGTCACCTTTACCCAGTCAAAAACGGCCCCCATCAGTGCTGGCTGCTGCTAGTATTGAGAAGATGGCCTCCAGCGTCTACCTGTCTTTGTAACCCGCGGCAAAGCACCTGACTTCACATGGTGGCTGAGGTCCAGAATTTTTACATAGATCCACTTACCTTCCACGGCTCATTCTACTCACTCGTGAAATGGAGATACCTAACGTCTCATAGGCTGTTAAGTGAGGATTCGTGAACGAAAAGGGACTCAACGCATGCGTACCACCACACAGCGTATGGACATTTGTCCCAGACTTGCACAACCTGCACAACACAAGAATCCTAGAGAGGGAGATGGCGAGACCTGCCTGTAATTTCCATGCGTGCACGCAGCACTCACTCGCCAACGACCAAGACCCTAGTTTTGCCCTTCTTTTCTCTAACCTGGAGTTGCAGGCCTCGTGGTGCACGCGTGCGGGCCAACTGTTGCTCGGGGTCTCTGGGCTGTGCCCTCCCGAGAGCTGAAAGCCCATTTCTCCTCACCCTGGTCAACTGACACACAGACACGCACTGGACGCGTGCGCTCTGCACAGCCCATCCCCACTCGCGTGATTTTTTTTTTTTTAAGCCAATCATCGTCCCAAGCGCAGGCGCGCCAGTCGTGCGAGCGTTGGAAAATGGCGGGGGAGTTGAACCCTTCCGAGGTGGCGCCGCCGGTAGTCCTTGAGGAGGCTGAAGGTAGTGAGGGCAAGTGGGCCTCTGGTGGCCAGGGTAGAAGGAAGGGAGGCTTCGTGCCCTTACAATAATGAAACATTGATAGCAGTACTTAAAGAAGAAAAATTGTAAGCCTTTTATAAAAACAAAAAAAAGCTCTTCAACAAAGTGCAGATAAATAACATGTATATTCTCAGCAGGTCGATTAATTGCTGTCAACTTTATTGGCTATATTGCTTACGTATTTTAAAGTAAACAATAGACTAAATACTTCAGTATGCATCTCTTCAAACAAAAGAGGGGTGGATGGTCTCGCAGAACCCACTCAGCTGCTGCCATAGCTAAGAAAATTAACAGTAATTCCCCAATATCATCATTTCACACCCAGCCCATATCACACTTTGCATGGACTCTTAAATCTTAATTGTGAATGGCACTCCCACAGACGGCTTCTTTGGAGAAAATTCTCCAGGGCAGTTTGTTGATATTGACACCACACACCCCAGTGAGAGGAAAGACAAAACTTTCCTAGAAGGAGTTGGAAATTTAGGTCTAGCCAAAAGAAGAAAATCTCCCAAGACAATGATCCCCTGTTCGCCACTAGCATTTTTTTTAATTATAGAAATTTTCAAAATGTACCAAAGCACAGGAAATAGCGTGACGAATGCCCTTGTACCCATCACTCTGTATCAAGTGTTTCGACTCTTGGCCCTCCTTTCATTTATCTCTGACCACCTTTCCTACACACTCTTTAAACCATCATATTAATGAGCACATTGGATTGCATCTTTCCAGATATATCTATGCAGATGACAATAATTATGCACTTGTATATTGTCTATCTTAGGATGTGAGCTTCATGAGAACAGACCAATTATTGCCGTTTCCCCAGCACCTGAAACAATGCCTGCTTGGCATATAGTAGGTGCTCAGTAATTTTTTTACTGCATGAATAATGAACTAACACTGAGAGCTCTCTTAGATTTTGGCCTCACATTGAGTGCAAGCTTTCAACAAGAAATAAGACATGCCAATAAATCTTCCTTATAAAGCACTTAGTATAGCTGCCACTGTGCTTTAAAAAAAAAAAAAAAGACATTATCAAATTTTTTTAAAAAAGGAAGTTATGATCAACTTCGCCAGCAATGGAGAAAGTTGAAAAGCATATCAAGTTACCATTTCTAACCCATCAAAATTGGCTTTAGAAAAATATATCTGGTATTTTCATATCTTCACTCACCATGCTTGGTAATCTTAGAATACACAGATGTGTGGACCAAGCAGGGTCATTGGAATGTTGTTGATGGAAGCAAAACACAGGAGCAATCACGAAATGACTAAATTTAGGTATATCCATGCATTATGGAATGCCTGTATAGTGGACATTTTTTCTTAAGAGGCAGGAAAAAAATTCCAATTTAATTTATTTAATTAAAATTAATTTTAAAAGGAGAAGACAGTGATTCATTAACAGAGAGTGAGCTTCAAAAGAGATCATATTCTTATGAGAGAAAAGCAAGTTGGGATTAAAAAAAAGAAGAAAAAAAAAAGAAGAGGCAGTTCAACTACAGCCCTACGTGTGCTGCTTAGAAAAATGTCTGAAGGCTAAAGGCCTAACTGGTGACTCTCAACAAGGGACTTGGATTTGGGGGGCTGTGTAGAGGTGGAAGCATTTTTGTAAGTTTTTAGAAAGGAAAATGTAAGTAGTGCTAAATAATATTAATATATAAGAGAAAAAATGCTGAATGGCGTCTGAGGATCATACATTAATATTGGTCAATATTAACATCTCTGTTTTGATGGTTATACTGCAGTTACCTGGTAGAGTCCCCTTATAAATAGGAAATATACTCTGAAATATTAAGAAATAATGGGTCATGATACCTGCAATTTATGTGCAGTAATGCTCACAAATGGGAAATCTGATACAAGGGCAAATAGCCCTGTGGCCTATTTCTACAACTTTTATGTATTCAATACATCTGAAATTATTTCAAAATAAAGTGTTTCAAAGGGGTTCATGCTCTATAGGCTGTTTTGTTTTGTCACATTGATTTTTTTCTTTTTTTTTTTTTTTTGGTATGCGGCCCTCTCACTGTTGTGGCCTCTCCCGTTACGGAGCACAGGCTCCGGACGCGCAGGCTCAGCGGCCATGGCTCACGGGCCCAGCTGCTCCGCGGCATGTGGGATCCTCCCGGACCGGGGCACGAATCCGTGTCCCCTGCATCGGCAGGCGGACTCTCAACCACTGCGCTACCAGGGAAGCCCTGTCACATTGATTTTTTTTAACTTTTGTCAACATGTTAGCTGGACTATTTGAAAGATTTACTGATCACCTATGATCTTACTGTGTGACTAGGACTAGCAATGCAGCGGAGAGGATCACATGGTCGTTCTATTTGTAGTTTTTTAAGGAATTTTCATACTGTTCTCCTTAGTGACTGTACCAATTTACATTCCCACCAACAGTGCAGGAGGGTTCCCTTTTCTCCACACCCTCTCCAGCATTTATTGTTTGTAGATTTTTGGATGACGGTCATTCTGACTGGTGTGAGGTGATACGTCATTATAGTTTTGATTTGCATTTCTCTAATAGTGATGTTGAGCATCTTTTTGTGTGCTTTTTGGCCATCTGTATATCTTCTTTGGAGAAATGTCTATTTAGATCTTCTGCCCGTTTTTGATTGTGGTATTTTTTTTTTTTATTGAGCTGCATGAGCTGTTTGTATATTTTGGAGATTAATCCCTTGTCAGTTGTTTCATTTACAAATATTTTCTCCCATTCTGAGGGCATATACCAGAGAAAACCATAATTCTAAAAGATACATGTGCCCCAATGTTCACTATTTACAATAGCTAGGACATGGAAGCAACCTAAATGTCCATCAACAGAAGAATGGATAAAGAAGATGTGGTACATACATAAAATGGAATATTACTCAGCCATAAAAAAGGACAAAATAATGCCATTTGCAGCAACAGGGATGGACCTAGAGATTGTGATACTGAGTAAAGTAAGTCAGACACAGAAAGACAAATATTGTCTGATGTTGCTTGTATATGGAATCTTAAAAAGGTACAAATGGGTACAAATTTACAAAACAGAAGTAGAGTCATGGATGTAGAAAACAAACTTACGGTTACCAGGGGATAAGGGTGGGAGGAGGGATAAACTGGGAGATTGGGGTTGACATATACACACTACTATATATAAAATAGATAACTAATAAGAACCTGCTATCTAGCACAGGAAACTCTATTCTATACTCTGTAATGGCCTATATGGGAAAAAAATCTTTAAAAAAAAAAAAAGAGTGGATATATGTATATGTATAACTGATTCACTTTGCTGTACACCTGAAACTAACACAACGTTGTAAATCAACTGTACCGCAATAAAAAAATTAATGCAGTGGAGAGGAAAAACACAGATGGAGCTTTCACAGAAATGGTTCAACAAGCCAGCTGTGAAAGACATATGGAGACAATCAGGGGAAACCACATATGTTGTGGGCATTTTATGATATAAATGATCCGATGATTAGTGACGATTGCTAATCTTGTCGGTGTGATTATAGGATTGGAGTCATCTAAGAAAATGTCTTCTAGTAGTTGAGACTTTCTTTTTTTTTAGTTGAAACTCAATGAAGTATCTAGGGATGAAATGTCATGAAGTCTGGGGCTTGCTTGAAAATACTTTAGCACAAGAAAAACATGGCTGAAGCAAATATTAATGATTGTCAGATCTGGACACTGAGTAAACTGGAGTTCATCATGGTATCCTCTCTACTTCCATGTGCCTTTGGAAATTTTCATAATATTAAAAACAAAACAAGTAATCACAAATATCTCCCTTCGTTATTAAAGTAGATTTAATTTTTTTATTTCATTCCAAATATTAAGAATATTTAAAGAACATAAAAGTCTCCAGAGGAGACATACCAACCAATGATACCAGAGAAAAGCAATGAGATTTATGCAAAATTAAATTAATACATACCAATTTGTAAAAGATCTCAGACAAGACAAAAAGATGTAAAGAAAATGAACATACCACCAAACATTTCAACAAAATTTAATAAGCTTAGGTCAAGAAGCCCTGATTGTTTTTTTCCCCCGAGGCTCGTGGGATCTTAGTTTCCTGATCAGGGATCAAACCCAGGTCCCGGCAGTGAGAGTGCTGAGTCCTAACCACTGGACCTCCAGGGAATTCCCAAGAACCCCTGATTTACAACATGAGTTTTAATGGCTGCAAAGAATTTTATCCTCTGAATGTACTGTAGTCAACTAAGGTAACTTTAAGTTGCTTCCGTCTTTTAAGATTATGAACAATGGAACAATCTTGCCCACCATCCTTAATTATTTCCTTAAAATATCTAGAGGTGGAATTTCTGATCCAGAGGAGTAAGTTTTTAATATTTACTACCAGAAAGTTTGAAATGAAATGCTGGTTTTGCCTATCCCATTGGCAAAAGTGACAAAGGTTGAAGTTTCCTTTTTTTTTTTTTTTTTGGTTGGGATTGAGGGGAGCAGAATCCTTCACAGGTGGTGTTATGTTCTTCCATCAGGAGGCTTATAATATCCAGTTGTCTTTCGTGGATGTTAGCAGCCATTAGTAAACCATTTCCTAGACCCATCAGTTCTTTAAGAATTTGCAAATTGTGGCCTATAATGATTTTAAAGAAATTCATATGAAATTGTTCTGTCCTACTGCATTGCTTACAACTTCATACTGATTTTGAACAGCAGTAGCAGCAAAAGGGCATCCCCTTCTCTCACACCTGAATTTCATTAAAGGGATGTCTGTGGTGTTCTTGGACCTCTCAGGAAGAAACGGCCATTACGGGTCCTGATTCATCTAGCACACGCCATCAACCCTAGAGACACAAGACGGGGTTCTGGGAGCTCCTTGATGGTCCAGTGGTTAGGACTCCATGCTTTCACTGCCAAGGGCCTGGGTTCAATCCCTGGTCAAGGAACTAAAATTCCACAAACTGTGTGGTGCAGCCAAAAAAAAAAAACAAGGACAGGGGTCCTGCAGGGACCCTGCTCTGGCTGGAGAGCTGCCCCTCAGCCTATCTTTGGTTCAGCCCAGGGGTGTCCTCAGAACCCAGTGAGGCTTTCTTCCTCCCTGCCCAGATTAGCTTGGACCTTTCCTCAGTCCCCTCTCACTGTCACTGGATGCTGCAATTCTGATTTTCATCTCCACAGGTCAGACCAAGTCTTCAAAGAAGACTGAAGAGTTGCTGGAAATGGTGAAGAAGCTGCAGAAAGGTCATGTGTCTCCTCGTGTCTGAGGCTTAGCCTGAGGTTTTGAGTCAGGAAGATGTGGTTCAAACCCACCCTCTCAACTCACAACCTTGGGAAATTATCCCGTTGCACTTTCTCCCTCTTATACAATTTAATTCTTTAAACCAAAAACACAACTTCAAAATTCAAGAAGTAGGGCTTCCCTGGTGGTGCAGTGGTTGAGAGTCCGCCTGCCGATGCAGGGGACACGGGTTCGTGGCCCGGTCCAGGAAGATCCCACATGCCGCGGAGCGGCTGGGCCCGTGAGCCATGGCCTCTGAGCCTGTGCATCCGGAGCCTGTTCGCCGCAATGGGAGAGGCCACAACAGTGAGAGGCCTGCGTACCGAAAAAAAAAAAATTCAAGAAGTATAAAGGGATGGAAAACCCTACCCTCCAACACTCATATGCATGCACGCACATACACACACGCGCACACACACACACACACACACACACACACTCACACACACCCCAGCCATCCATTTCCCTGACCCGTAGGCCAGCAGCAGCTATTTTTAAATTCTTAGGTATTTTTCTAGACATTAAAAAAAATACATTCTTGGGTGCGTATTCTTTGCCCTCCTTTTTTATATACAAATGGCAATGCAAACAGCTTTGCACCTTGCTTTGCTTGTTGATGGGAGACTGGGAGCCAGCCAGCATCCAGTACCCACAACAGCGCTGGGGCAGAGTTCTGGCCGTGTTTGAGGTTGGATCCCCCCAGTCCATCAGCAGCTTAAAATACTACAATCCATTGGTCTGTTCCAAATGAAGGGGAACCTCCCCTTCCCCAACTCCGTGGCCACATGCAAAAGTACATTGGAGCTGCTGCCTAGACTAAACTTAGGTAGAGGAATTGCGTGATCGAAAATGCAGTGACTCTGCCCGTCTCCAGTAAAACAAAGACCCCAGGGATTTGTATCATAATCAGCACCTTGGAGAGCACTCAGTCTCCTGGAAGTCACAGGAGATGAAGGTGGTGGCCTCTGGAAATCCAGAACTTGAACTTAACTCCAGAGTGTCTCACAGGCTGGTAGTGAGACCCAGCGAGGGTTGGGCAGATTTTTATCTCAACCCTGTGCTTCCAACCTTGAAGCCAGAGAGACAAGGAGGGCTTCCCCATAGGGAGCACTGAAATTCGGAATGTGAGACGTTAGCGATGACGCCCTAAAGAGACAGTTGATCTCCCTGTCATTGGAGAACTTGATAGCTGTCATAATGAAAAGTGGCATTTTCCCCATATCTCATATGAGGTCAGCACCAGAGTCCAGGTGGACAGAAGCGACAACCCACCCCGCCAGCCTTTCCATGGGGGGGCAGGGGGGTCTCCCTTGTCTCCCACCGCATTCAGATCTCCATGTAGAAGCCTCTACCACATCCCGGGAGGCCCTGGGCGATCTGCCACTCCCACTTCCCCCCTTGGCCTCCAGCTACTCTCCACCAGCTCACTAGAGCCACACGAGCCACAGCAGACCGCTTGGCCGTATATTTGGGGCATGCGCCTCACTCAGCCCCACTGCGGGGGCTTTGCACTCATCATCCTCCTGTCTGGCATGTCCCCCACTCCACACTCCCCACCCCACAGAACTGCAGGGCTGTCTTCCTTCACATCATTTGGGGCCTCTCCACATCTCAAGAGGCACCTTCTACCCTTTCATTCTTCAGCCCCTTGCTTCACTTTATTTCCCTTCCTGGCGTTTCCTGCCACCAGCGTTGACATCATGAATCTTTGTTTAGTGTCCATCTCTCCCACCCAGAATGCAAGCCCTGCAAGGGGTTCTTACAGAGCCTGGGACACAGCGCACACTCAATAAATGCTGACCCGTAGCAGCAGAGACACAGTGGCAACACCCGCCCCCTCCTTCTGCCTTAGACAGCCAGGCATCTGCCTTCTCTGGCTCAATCTTTCTTTCCTTCTGCAGAGGGAAGCCTGGAGCCACAGGTCGAAGACCTGATTAACCGGATTAATGAGCTTCAGCAAGGTAAGCTCCGGGACGTAAGATGGCCAGCTGCCCAAGAGGGACCTGGGCTTTGGAAGTCTCCACTTCTTCATCTATGAGATCCAGGCCCCTCCGGGTTGTCTGAAGATGAGTGTGCAGTGTCATGGTCTGTGAGAGAATAGCAAGGCTAGTGGCTGCACTCACACCATGTCTTCTTCCCTCTTTTGACCCAGCAAAGAAGAAATCCAGCGAGGAACTGGGAGAAGCCCAAGCTCTCTGGGAGGCCCTGCGTAGGGACCTGGACTCCTGTAAGTGGGACCAGAAGAGGGACCCAGAGATCTCATGACCAGTGCGGACGTTCCTGTGCACACCTCAGGGTCTTTGCAAGGGCTGTTCCGTCCACCTGAGAGGTTCTCATCCTACATAATCCACATTGCCTCGTGCTATCTCGAGTCACCTTTCAGCTGTCAGCTGAAACTTCACCCCAACAGGTCTACCTTGATGGCCCCCTCTAAAAATAGAACACCACCTTCTCTCACTCCCCTGCTTGATTTATGTCTTCACAGCCTTTATTTCTACTTGACGTGGTGTACTTTTGCATTTCTCATCATCTGTACCCTCAGTATAAACCATAGACATCGTACACAAGGGAGCCCTGCAGCCCCTCACTCCTTCAGCACTTACAGGAAATGTGTGCCCCGAGCGGGAAAAGCTGGACCAGGATGGTCCCCAGCGGGAGATGGGTGCACGGTTGGTGAGGAGATACCTCTCCTCCCCTGAGGCTGTATCATATCTTCTTTGTGACCTTGGGCCTTCCCTTTGCATGAAGTTGCAGTCAGGGCCCAGGATGAGGCCCCCTGGAGACTCACAGTGTCATTGTGTTTTCCAGTGAATGGAGAGAAAGTGCACCTGGAGGAGGTTTTGAGCAAAAAGCAAGGTATTTACCAGCTGCTTCGTCCTCATTATTCTACCACATCGCCCCACAAATGCCTGAAGTTCTCAGACAGCCAGAGGAATCCCCCTGACACCTGAGTCAGGGTGGCCCCCTCTCTGCTCAGATCTCTCCCTTGGCTGCCATCTGACTCGGAGTAAGCACTGAAGTCCCTCAGTGCCCTCCAATGCCCAGCATGATGCGAGGCCCCTTGCTTCTCCCCAGCCCTGAGTTCTCAAGAGCTCTCACAAAGCCCCTTGGTTCCTCCTCCCACAGAGGCACTGAGGACCCTCCAGCTGCACTGCCAAAGGAAGGAAAGTGAGGCTCAGAGGTAAGAGGTCCTGCCCAGCTCTTCCCCGCCTTTTTCCCCAGCCCGAGGGAGGAGTGGGCAAGAGCTAGGGAAAATAAATCTTGGACACACACTCCTCACTTTCCCTTTCTATAAAATCGAGTGGCTAGACAAGAGACACCCCTGCTCATCGTTAGTATTAAGTGGTGGTGTTAAAATGAACTCATTTAATCATTCATTGCTAGTTTCTTTATCAAATAAATTTCACCCATTAGTATTATTCTAAGTCTTCCCCTATTGGTTAGCCAGCTCTTCTGCCATCCATTCATTTGTTTATCTGTCTACTCATTTATGACCCCAGCCATCCATCTACCCACCCATCCACCCACTGTCCCACCCATCCATACATACATCTATCCAACTATCCAACTCTTCATCCAGACAGACAGCCATTATCTCTCCAGCCTTCCATCTAATCATCTTTCACCCATCCAATCATTCATTCATCTTCTCTCCACCTTTCCAATCATCCATTTAACCGTTCATGTCTTTCCCCAACCATCCATCCAGACAGCTATCCATCCTTCTGACAATCTTTCCTTTATTTCTCCATCCATCCATCACCCCTCCGCTCATCATTTCTCTAACCAGACATCATCTCTCCAGCCTACCATTCACCCATCCAGTTCACTGTCCATCCAGCCATCTATCCATCTATCTCTCCATCCTTTGAACCTTTACATTCTTGTGACCAGAAGTCTCAAATGCTGGCACATCATGATTTTAATAATGTGGTAAAACTTGATGATAGTTAGTTACAGTGTATATATGCTTAACCCCACCACACCTACCACTGTCTGATGAGCAGTTTATGTTCATTTATCAACTAATCCTTGCAATGACAGTCCCACCATTTTACATATGAGGAAACTGAGACCCAGAGAGGTTAAATAACTTGTCCACATCACAGTGGAATAGCAGATCCAGGCCTCAATCTAGGACTTTATAATTTATGAAACTAAACTACTGTACCCTTCACAAAGGTTTCTTGGGAAGGCATGGTTTGATGGGGGACAGAATGGACAGGGTGATAGTGTCAAGAAAGGCCTATGAAGGTTCACATTTGCTCAGAGGAAAGGAGAGTGAGGACTCCCAGCCCCTCTCCTGCTGGAAGGAGTGGGGGCTCATTCAGAGAATATAACTGAGGGTTCTCTTGCCTTTCTCAGGAAGTACATGTTGGCGGAGCACATGGAACAAATTTCTATCCATAACTCTCAGATCACAGAGAGTCAAGGACAGAGGAAGCCGGGGTAACCCTGGGTCTAAGGCCTGGGGTGGCGCGGTGTGGGGAATGGGAGTGGGGCTTGCATGAGGGAGAGTTTGTTGGAAGTGGTGCTGTTGGAAGCAAGGCTTGGAGGAAAAAGCCCATAAAGGGGCTCCTAGCAAGGGACCACCAGGCAAAGATCTGAAGGCCTATGAATGAGAAACCCCCGGACTGGGCCAGGCTGGGTGTCAGTCCTAGCATGTGTTTTCTCATTCCTGGATGTCGGCCCCTAGGTTGCACGTGGAAGAACGTCTGGAGGATTTGACAGGCCAGCACAAGGACCCCTGGGAATTCCACGTGAGCCATTATCATTGCCTCAACCAAAGCCACTCCTCCCCTGGCTTCAGTGTCTCTGCTGATCAGCCCAGGGTCCACCTACTGCTCAGGCCCAATGCCGGGGGGTAGTCCTTGACTCCTTTCTTCCTCTCACCGTCTCAACTCAGTCCTTCAGCTTCTACCTTAAACCCAACCACGTCTCATCATCCCCAATGCCGGGGGGTAGTCCTTGACTCCTTTCTTCCTCTCACCGCCTCTACTCAGTCCTTCAGCTTCTACCTTAAACCCAACCACGTCTCATCATCCCCCACTGCCACACCCAGCGTCCATGCCCAGAGTGTTGCAGTAGCCATTGCTGATCGTGCTTCCCTCCTGCGTGCCTACAGTGCTTATCCTGCAGTGGCAAATGGGAACTCCGAACCAGACAGACATGTTCAGGGCATTCCTTCGTTCAACCCATGTCTCTGGATGTGTCCAACAGCATTCCAAAGGGGCCAAGTCTTTGCTGTCCCCAAGTTGGTTAGGAGCAAGGAGATGCATACCCAGACTCTAAACAAGAAAATAAGTAGATAGATCATGTAACGCCAGTGGGGAAGTCCTGTCTGAGCAGGTGTCATCTGAACACAGACACGAAGGAAGTGAGGAAGCCATGCGGGTATCTGAGTGCCAATGTCCCTGGGAGGCTGAACTGTGCCTGGGGTATTTGAGGAAGAGCAAACAGTGAGGCTGGGGGATGAGACAGTGGGAAGAGATGAGGTTTAAGGTACACGGGGACATGGGGAGTGATTGAGGGGGAGAGCATCTATGCCAGCGCCCGGTCACAGCAGAAGCTGCACACTGAATTAACGGAGAGCTGAATGAATGAATGAACGCCCTAATTCAAGTAAGGACTTTCCGAGAGGCGCGAAGGAGGAGGGGCCAGGAGGACAGCTGGACGGACAGGGCTCCTCTCGCTCTTCACAGATGCTGAAGCAGCGACTGGCCTGGGAGATCCGTGCCCTGCAGAGCAGCAAGGAGCAGCTGCTCACCGAAGGTGGGACTCCTGCGCGGGGTGGGGTCGGAGCCGGGGCGGCAGGCGGGAGCTCCCGGCCCCGCCCATGACGCCCCGCCCACCCGCAGAGAGGCAGGCGCGGGCAAAGCTGGAGACGGTGGAGAGGCGGCTGCGCTCGCCGCCCGAGGTCCAGAGCGCCCCGGCAGAGAAAGACGGGTAAGAGGGGAAAGGAGGAGGGGGGGCCCGAGGTCCGCCCCGCCAACACCTCCCCTTCTGCCCCTCCCAGAAGGGCGGGGCCTCCGCGGGCAGTCTTCAGGGCTCAGAGTGTCAGTCGCTTCCTCCCTGTGGCCCCTCCACACTCCCTCTCTCTTCCTCCTCTCCTCTGACCCTTCTCCGCAGGCTGAAGGCGGAGCTGGAGAAACTCGGGGGGCAGGTCCCCGCCCAGACTCAGACCACCCCAGAGGACCAGGCCGGAGAGGTAGAGAGCCCGGGATGGAGGCAAGACGGGCCGAGACACAGCGGGCGGGATCTGGGATCCGCAGCCCCTCTGAGAGGGGGCTGTGCGGGTGCAGGGCGTCCTCGGGGCGGTGGGGACAGGGAAAGGGCGGCGCGGGCCAGCGTGGGCGGGCGCCAGGGCCCCAAAGCCTGACTCCCAGCCCCCGCAGGACGGCCCCCAGCTCCCAAGCGAGGGCGACCTGGCGCCGCCGGCGGAGCTGGCCCTGACGCGCCCCTAGGCCAGTAGGACCCACCCGGCCCCACCTTCCTTCAAGTGCCGCCCGGAAATAAAGGCGACGTTTGCGGAGCATCCTCCAACTCCCCGGCTGAGTCTGTGCCACGGGAGTCATTGGGGGTGGGGGTCGTGCCCTTCCTCTCTCCGGGAGAAGGGGGAGTGGTTCAGGAAGTCTGGGCGGGGCCTCGCCGGACTCTGCCCACCAGTCCCTTGGCCGGCTCAGGACGCGGGAGCTCTGTATACGCCCCCGACAGCTCAATGACTGCGTGGGTGTCAAGACCACTCCATCTCCACGGCCTCATCTCGGGTTCCTGAACCGTCTGTTTTACCAGTAAGGGCTAGAAGGGACGTGTTAAAAACCCGCTGCAGGTCCTGTCAGTCTCCTGTGGTTCAGAGTAAAATCCCAGCCTCCCAGAGTCCCTGCATTACCCACAGGCTCCCTCAGACCTGCCCGCCTACCTGGCCTCACCTCTCACACCCTCACACGTTTGCTTCAAGCCACACAGCTGATTTTCCACCCTTCTCCAAGCACCTTGTCATCTCAGGGCTTTTGCCCTGCTGTGTCGTCATCTGGGGTGCCCTTACCCCAGTCTCCTCGGAGTGCAGGACTGTTAAGGATGTCAGCAGCTCAGGAGGCTGGCCTGGGGGACCCAGTTCCAAAGGGCACCTTGCCACCTGCTAAGCACGTGTGGGTTAAACAAGCATTTGCTGAATGTCTGCTTGTGTACCAGGCACTATGGTAGGCCCCGGATTTTAAGTAGCAGTGTCAGGAAGGATGTCACTGAGGTGGTGGTGCCTGAGCAGGGAGGTGAGGGGGGCAGGCGAGGGAGTGAGCACCGTAGGTGTCTGGGCGAAGGGGCGCTGGGCAGAGGGGATGGCGCCCACAAGGGCTGTGGAGGGGACTGAGTTTGTCCAGTGCGAGGAGCGTCTGGAGGAGGCCAGTGTTGTGGAGCCGAGCGAGGTGACCAGGCACGGGGTCGAGTGCTGGCCCTGGAAGGGGGACGCCTTCGACACTCGGACATGCATTGTCCGAGGAGACACACATGCTGACAGAGCAAGACACTTTATTGGGGAGGCGTGCCCGGGTGCAGAGCAGCAGGGTAAGGGAACCGAGGAGGACCGCTCTGCCACGTGGCTCGCAGTCTCAGGTTTTATGGTGATGGGGTTAGTTTCCGGGTTGTCTCTGGCCAATCATTCTGACTCAGGGTCCTTCCTGGTCTCCTTTTGACCTTTCCCGAATTCTTCTGGGTGCTGGTAGCTTGTTAGTTCTGCATTCCTTACCAGGACCTCCTGTTGTAAGAGAACTCCTGCAGGTGGTACTCTTGGGCCTGGCCAGGGCAGGTGGTTTCAGTCAGTGATTCCCTTAACAATATGAGAGACTTCCTGGGGACCCATGGCCCTTGTCTGTCTAGTCTGTTCTTCTCAGAACAGGACCTGGCATATAGTAAACACTCAGTAAAATGATAGCTATCACTAATTACTATGATGATTTATTATTATTCCCAATCCATCTGTGAAGGAAACTCAGATGCATGAATCACTTTGAACGGGGGCCTATAATCCATTAAGTATTTAATAAATCATTCATATCATTTATTCTTATTATTACTTTTATTATTATTCCCAGGCTACAGATGAGGAACACCAGGGTGTGTATTTCTCTTAGAACAGAGAGTTTCATGCAAAATATATTCAATAAATGCTACCTATCATTTATTATTCTCATTACTAGTCTTGTTATTCCCAGTCTAGAGATGAGGAAAATTGAGGCAGTGAAAGTATACAGTAAGCCCACGATAAATGTGGGGTCTCACCGTTGTTGCTATTATTATCCCAGGTCCACAGACAAGGCCCAGAAGGCTTTAATCCCTGTACCATGGCTCACACCAGGTCCACCTGACCCCCCAGGCCTGGGTCCTGATTCCCTGCCCCACTGACACTGCCTGCATGCCTTAGACCACCGTCCAGGGATCTTTAGGGAACTTAAATGTTCTCTATGTCACACAAATGGGGACAGCCTGGATACTCCATTGACATCACTTTCCTCCTAAGATTCAAATCCTGGCTTCCCTGCTCACTGAGTGACCCCAGACAAATTGTTTAATGTCTCCAAAACTCAGTTACCAAATTTGCAAAATGGTACCACCAACTGCACAGAACTTACTATAAACCTGGCCAACTCCTCGCTCCTCCAAAACCTCCTCTGAGGGAACCTGAATCTCCTCCTCATGTGAATACAGTGTGATACACAAGGAGATGGCTGGTGCACGGGACTGCCCCTCCCAGACTGAACTCTCTGAAAGTGGAGACTGACCCGACCCAGCTTGTGGAATACTCACATCTCAAAAGGCACTGGGAAAGAATGCAAGTTCTGCCACCAAGGGCTCTTGTTTCCTAAATTCAGAGGTTTTGCACATATCTGCAAGCCTTTCGAGATGAATGTTTGGGGCTTGGTAAAAACAATAGGTTTGCTTTGAACTGTTTCTAGAGCCACATGTCTGGTCTTGTAAAGACCAGATTTGTAAGACAAGGACATTTTTTTAATTCCTCAAAAGACTGGGGCCCACCTGAATAATATGGAGGTTGACCCACTCACCCAGCTACATTATCCTCAATTTGCTTCTTTATATCAGGGAGAAGATTTTCCACTAAGATGGAAATCGAAAGATTCCTATGTTCTAGATTTAGAGCTGTGTGTCTTTGGAATGTTTTGCTAAATCCTTCCACAAAGGCTTCAGAATGTTTCTCCCCCCTGTGGGTACATAGTTTTATTTTAGGTTAAAGGAGAAAGCCTAAAAAAAAAAGTTCTTATCAGGTTCTGAATATCAGTTTCCAACTTGGCCAACTTCAGACCATAGAGCTATTTTTAAAAAGAATCCTTTCAAAAAAAAAAAAAAAGAATCCTTTCAAATATCTTGTCAGGCTTCAGCCGAGAAAAACAGTAAATATTCCTGGCAATATTGAACAACCGCTTGGATGTGTAGGGATGGAAAATTTTCCGCCTTCTTCCCTTCTAAGTTCTTTGGTCTAATAATTAAATTGATACGAGAGATTAACAGGAGAAACAAACATTTACGGAGCGCTGTAAAGATAGGAAGGCTCAAAAGACAGCCAAGTAACGACATCCTATATAATACCTGAGCTAAGGAAAGTGCTAGGGGGTCTGATGATACCAAGAGGAGGAAGGTCATTCACAGGAAGGCAGAGCAGATGTTCAGAAAACAAAGATTGCCTGGTTAGGCACATAAGTTTCTTACGTGAAACTGAAACCACACACCTCAGATGTGACTCAAACCAGACCAAAACTCAGGTTGGGTCTTGAACCCATGGACTGGGCTTCGAACCCACTGTCTTTTTTTTTTTTTTTTTTTTTGCGGTACACGGGCCTCTCACTGTTGTGGCCTCTCCCGCTGCGGAGCACAGGCTCCGGACGCGCAGGCTCAGCGGCCATGGCTCACGGGCCCGGCCGCTCCGCGGCACGCGGGATCCTCCCGGACTGGGGCACGAACCCGTGCCCCCTGCATCGGCAGGCTGACTCCCAACCATCTGCACCACCAGGGAAGTCCCCCACTGTCTTTTAACTGAAATCGCACACCTGGTCTCAGGATTTAATGAAGCTCAAGTTCTTTATGTCTCATCGCAAAAAGAATTCAGTGAGAGGCAAAGTGATGGGTAAGAAGTGGATTTGTTTAGAGATACACATTCCATGGACTGAAAGCAGTCCGTCTCAAAAGGCGAGAGTGGCCCTGAAATATGGGGTGGTTAGTTTTTGTGGTCTGGATAATTTCATGGCCAACAAGTGGGAGGTTTATTCCAATGATTTGGGGGAAAGAGTGAGGATTTCCAGGAATTGGGTCACCAACCACTTTTTGCCCTTTTATGGTCAGCCTCGGAATGGTCATGGCGCCTGTGGGTGTGTCATTTAGCATATGCTAATGTATTACAATGAGCTTATAATGAGGCTCAAGGTCCACTGGACATCAAATCTTCCACCATCTTGGACCTAGTTGGTTCTAAACAGTTTATGTCATATCCTCAACAGCTATGTCCTTCTTTTAAAGGTTGTGCCCTGCTGCCTTCCCTCCTGTTTCAAAATGATATCTCTGATAATAGTTTTCTTCCTGGTATAGGCCTTCTTTCCCATGTAAATTAGGCAGTTGAAGGGAAGGTAAAGGGCTTTTCCTGAATCTGCTGGGTTCAGGAACTCAAAAATAATCAAGAGCTCAAAAAATAATCCTCATGTGTAAGTGGCATATTTTGGGGTGGCAAAGCCTGCTCCCCTTCAGATGCAAGAGATACTCCCAAGGGGGGTGCAAAAGATACTACCCTCCCAAGACCCAAACCATTCCCAAAAGACAGCTGAGAGAGAAAGATGTAGACAGTTGCCTTGAAAGCTGACAACAATCAGTAGAACTCTAGTTGCCAATGGAGTGCAACCTGCATTTCTTTCTGGCCACATTTTGGGACACCCAACCTGATGGTTCCAAAGCTAAGTTCTCAGGACACAAAATGAGACAGACAAAAAAGCAAAAGCTGTTCTGGGAGAGAAAGATTCAACAACCAATGGGTATTAACAAAATGAAGGATAAAAATCATATGATCGTATCAATAGATGCAGAAAAAGCATTTGACAAAATTCAACATCCATTTATTATTTTTAAAAAAAACTCTCAACAGAGTGGGTATAGATGGAATGTACCTCAATATAATAAAGGCCATATATGACAAGCCAACAGCTAAAATTATATTCAATGGTGAAAAAAAGCTAAAAGCTTTTCCCTTAAGATCAGGAACAAGACAAGGATGCCTACTCTAGACACTTTTATTCAACACAGTATTGGAAATCTTAGCTAGAGCAATTAGTCAGAAAAAAGAAATAAAAAGCATTGAAATTGGAAAGGAAGAGGTAAAACTGTCACTGTGAACAACATTATTTTGTATATGGAAAACCCTAAAAACTCCACCAGAAAACTGTTAGAACTAATAAACATATTTAGTAAAGTTGAGGTGTTAAAAAAAATCAATATACAAAAACCTGTTGTGGGGACTTCCCTGGTGGTGCAGTGGTTAAGAATCCGCCTGCCAATGCAGGGGACACGAGTGTGAGCCCTGGTCCGGGAAGATCCCGGACTGTGGAGCAACTAAGCCCATGCGCCACAACTACCGAGCCTATGCTCTAGAGCCCGCAAGCCACAACTACTGAGCCCATGTGCCACAGCTACTGAAACCCATGTGCCTAGAGCCCGTGCTCCGCAACAAGAGAAGCCACCGCAATGAGAAGCCCGCGCACCGCAACGAAGAGCAGCCCCCGCTCAGCGCAACTAGAGAAAGCCCAGGAAAAGCAACGAAGACCCAATGCAGCCAAAAATAAAAAAATAAAAAAATAAAATTTAAAAAACCCATGGTGTCATTATATACTAACAACAAACTATCAGAAAGAGAAATCAAGAAAATCTTATTTACAATTGCATCAAAAAGAATAAAATACATAGGAATAAATTTAACCAAGGTGGTGAAAGATCTGTACACTGAAAACTGTAAGACATTGATGAAAGAAACTGAAGAAGACATAAATAGATTGGAAAAACTTAATATTGTAAAAATGTCCATATTACCTAAAGCAATTTATAGATTCAGTGCAATCCCCATCAAAATCTCAGTGGCATTTTCACAGAAATAGAACAAATAATCCTAAAATTTGTATGGAACCTCAAAATATCTTGGATGGCCAAAGCAATACTGAGAAAGAAGAACAATGCTGGAGGCATCATGCTTCCTGATTTCAAACTATATTACAAAGCTACAGTCATCATGGGACTGGCATAAAAACAGACACATAGATCAATGGAATAAAATAAACAGCCCAGAAGTAGACCCAAGCATATATGGTCAATTAATTTATGACAAAGGAGGCAAGAATACATCAAAACAATGGGGAAGAGACAGTCTCTTTAGTAAATTGTGTTGGGAAAACTGGACAGACACATACAAAAGAGAGAAACTGGACCACTCTCTTACACCATACACAAAAATTAACTCAAAATGGATTAAAGGGCTTCCCTGGTGGCACAGTGGTTAAGAATCCACCTGCCAACACAGGGGACAGGGTTCGAGCCCTGGTCCGGGAAGATCCCACATGCCACGTAGCAACTAAGCCCATGCGTCACAACTACTGAGCCTGCGCTCTAGAGCCCACAAGACACAACTACTGAGGCTGCGCCTAGAGCCCGAGCTCCGCAACCAGAGAAGCCACCACAATGAGAAGCCCGTGCACTGCAATGAAGAGAAGCCCCTGCTCACCGCAACTAGAGAAAGCCCACACGCAGCAACAAAGACCCAACGCAGCCAAAAAATAAAAAAATAAAAAATTAAAGACGTGAACGTAATACCAGAAACCATAAAACTCCTAGAAGAAAACATAGGCAGTAAGCTTCTTGACATTGCTCTTTGTGATATTTTTTTGGATCTGACTTCAAAGGCAGTGGCAACAAAAGCAAACATAAATGAATGCAACTACATCAAGCCGAAGAGGTTCTGCACAGTGAAGGAAACCATCAACAACATGAAAAGGCAACCTACTGAATGGGAGAAGATATTTGTAACTCATGTATCTGGTAAGGGGTTAATATCCAAAATAGATAAAGAGCTCATAAAACTCAATAACAAACAAACAATCCAATTAAAAAATGGGCAGAGGATCTGAATAGACATTTTTTCAAACAAGACATTCAGATGGCCAACAGGCACATGAAATGATGCTGAACATCACTAATCATCAGGGAGACATAAATCAAAACCACAATGAGGTATGATGTCACACCTGTCGGAATGGTTATCATAAAAGGAAAAGAAATAATAAGTATGGGTGAGAATGTGGAGAAAAGGGAGCCTAGGTGGGAATGTAAATTTGTGCGGCCACTATGGAAACAGTATGGAGGTTCCTAAAGAAATTAAAAATAGAACTACCATATGATCCAGTAATTCCACTTCTGGATATTTATCTGAATTAAATGAAACAATGATTTGAAAGGATATATGCCCACCTATGTTCATTGCAGTATTATTCACAAGAGCCAAGATGTGGAGACAACCTAAGTGTCCATCAATAGATGTATGGAAAAGAAGATGTGAGATACACACAGACACACACACACACAGACACAGACACACACACACAATGGACTACTACTCAGCCATGAAAAAGAATGAACTCTTGCCATTTGTGACAACATGGATGGATCCTGATGATATTTTGCTAAGTGAAATAAATCAGACAAAGAAAGAAAAATACTGTAGAATTTCACTTTTATGTGGAATTTAAAAAACAAAACAAACAAATAAGAAATCATATATACAGAGAATAGATTATGATAGCCAAAGAGGAGGGGGGTTGGAAGTGGGCTGGGCAAAACCAGTGAAGGGGATAAAGAGGTACAAATTTCCAGTTTTAAAATTAAATAAGTCATGGGGATGCAACTAAATATCTAGTCATCAGCATGGTGACTATAGTTAGTAATACTGTATTGCAAATTTGAAAGTTACTAAGAAGGTAAATCTTAAAAGTTCTCATCACAAGAAAAAAAATTTGTAACTTTGTATTGTGACAGATGGTAACTAGACTGTGGTGATCATTTCACAATGTATACAAATGTGGGCTCATTGTGTCCTACACCTGAAACTAATATAATGTATGTCAGTTAAACTTCAATTAAGGAGAAACAGGGAATTCCTGGTGGTCCAGTGGTTAGGACTCAGCGCTTCCACTGCAGGGCCGGGGTTCAGTCCCTGGTCGGGGAAATAAGATCCTACAAGCTTCGCGGCATGGCCAAAAAAGAAAAAAAAACAAAAATGAAAAACCACGGTGGATCCCCAGAACCAAATTAATAAGAGTCTGAATTTGCAAAGAAAAGGACAATGTAAAATTGTGCCTTCCTCTCTCAACCAGGCACCACAGATAGAGACCTCGGAGAAGTGACTGGTAAAAAGTCTCACGCTTTGCCAGCTTCCGCTAGCTCTCCCAGGATGCCGTCTGCAGGCTCTAGAGAAGAGGAAGAGGAATTTTTCTTCTCCCCTTTATAGTGAATCCCTGGCTGACACTTCTCTTTTTCTAGGGCATCTTGTAAATGGATAAACTTACCGAAGTTGAAAGTTCTCCACTATGGCCTCTCTAATTCAAGATTATCTTTGATAAGTTTAACCTGCTAGTTCAGCCTTAAAACACAATTTTTTTCACCTGAGGCCTCATACCGGCTCGCTCCGGCTCAAGTCAGATCCAGGCGTGAGCCTTTCTACGTCAGACCAATCAGCTTCCATCAGGTTTCCGGACCCAGGCCAGAAAAAGGAAGGCTCAGATGGTCGGAAAGCTCATGAGGCCAGAGCTGCGGGTCCAGGATCCAGGACCGCGAGGACTTGCCCAGCACCTCCGGAGGCAGCGAGAAAACAGCCAGCTCCAGGAACTCAGCAGGTACCTTCCCTGGTTGCTCAGCGCTCCTGGGGGCTGTCGGGGGAGGGGGTCTCCTTAGGTTCCCTCTCTGACGCCTATTTATTTAAAAGATAAACCGAGGCATGTTACAAACTTTAAGAGCGAAAGTTGATTTGAATCAGGCAGCCTCCAGTGTAGCAGATGGAAAGAAACTCTGAGAAGCTGCACAAAATGAAAGAATTTTATAGGCAGAAGGGAGTGAGAACAAGGAAGTTTCATTAGTCAAAAAAGCCGGTTGGTTATTGCAAAGTTACTTTCCTTTAGGGGGTAGCAGGGCCCATCAGGCAGATTACCTGAGTAGCGCCAATCAGGGGCTTTCTGGTGTATTTATTTAAGATTCGATTTCTGGGAGAACTGAAATTGTCTCGGTTTGGTGATGTGAGGCTTAGGATAAGCTACTGTATTTTGGGCCCGCTGTCTTGTTTTTAACAAAGGCTGGGGGCATTATCTTTATCTTTGTTAAAAAGATGGGGTGGAGGGGACATCGTGGGCACTTGAAATGGCAGATGCAACTTTTGTTTACATGTCATCCGTGTGCGCGTGGGTTCCCAGTGTTTCTGCAGACCTTGTGAGAAATACAGCTGGTTGGTTTTTGCTTTATTTCTGCACCTGAAGTAAGTTCTTGTTAACCATCAATACTGAAAATACTGCTTTCAGTTAAAAAGAAGCTCAAATCAAATGTTGTAACTCCTGTTGAAAGAAGCCTCAAAGATCCTCGTGTGCCTGGGTGCATAACATCTCACTGAAAGGCTGGGCTCCACTGGGGGGTGAATCTGTTACATTTGCCTCCTTATTTCCTTAGAAAATTTAGGACTAGCTTATGAATAGATATGGTGGGGCAGCAGATGTACGTTATAAAGATGAACTTAAAAACTGTAATTACTATCTTTTGGCCTCTGGCCGACGCAGCAGTGTCTGGGAGCTGACTAGAGGTGCGAGCTAACTTCTTATTGCTAAACTCTAGAAGGCTTTTTATACACTTTCCTAATGTGTTAGTGAAATAAATAAAAGGAAAAAAAAAAGTGGGAGGAAGAAGAGGGGGAGGGACAGGGAAGGAAGGACGGAAAATCTTGAGTTCTCGTTACCAAAAGAAGGATTTATTCAGTAAACAGTGAACTTGCTAGATAGACCATGAAGGGGTCTTGTATTCCTCATGTTCAATAAGCTCTTCAGGGAGAATTGGAAGAAGTTACAAAACCAGAGCAGGGTCAGAGGTGTACCTGCATCCTGGGTTCTGAGGTAGGAATTGGAAAGGAGGTCTATTATCAAACATTCAGATACATGAATTTGAGGAAGAGTAGAGGTCAGGAAGAATAACTTCAGACTTCATAGCACTTGTAACTTTTTACAGAGCACTTTTTAACACTACAGACTTTCTATTTTAATAAAGTGCTTTTATATATCCATGATCTCATTAAATTCTCAAAATAATAATGTAGGGCTTCCCTGGTGGTGCAGTGGTTGAGAGTCCGCCTGCCGATGCAGGGGACACGGGTTCGTGCCCCGGTCCGGGAAGATCCCACATGCCGCGGAGCGGCTGGGCCCGTGAGCCATGGCTGCTGAGCCTGCACGTCCAGAGCCTGTGCTCCGCAACGGGAGAGGCTACAACAGTGAGAGGCCCACATACCACACACACACACACAAAAAAGTAAATAAAAGAGGTAGATGTGGCACCAACGGTGAGGTTCCCCTTGTAGCAGGAAGACTTCTAGGATGAGCCAGTGATCCAAGGCCATGTGGAATCCATCCTCTTGATTGGGGGCGGGACCTGTAACTATAGAGACAAATGCGGGGTGGGGCCTTCCCGTGGTGGTGGTGAGAGTGTGGGATGTGGCACAGCTGACTTCCAGGGAGGGTGCTTATCCCCTGAGCTATTCAGGTGAGCACCTCGAAGGCACTGGGTGCTTCCTGGTGAAAGAGTCAAAGCCTGAGAGGAATTCAACACAAGGGATATTCTTCCTCACTGTCTTAGAATCTCAAGGGGCCACATGACAAGGAATGGGGCTGCTTCCATCCCCTGAGGGCGACAGCCAGCAAGGAGGCTTCTCAGTTTCATTTGCATTTTTAATATTTTGTCCATCAGGTTCAGGAACATTTCTTGCAAAAGCCCTGCTGGTAAATATTTAAGGCTTTGCAGCCACATACAGCCTGCCACCATCAAATGTTTTATTTCTTGCTTTCTTGCTTTCATGCTTTTGCTCTTTCGCCCTCCCTCTTTTTCTTCCTTCCTCCTGTACTTCACAATGTTTAAAAAAAAAAATCACTCTTAGTTTAAGGACTAAACCAAAACAGGTTCTGGGTGGTTTGCTAGCTCCTGGTCTTAGATAATCAACAGAACAATAAATTAAGGCCTGAATTGCAGTCTTTGCCAATTTCTGTAGTGGAAACACACTGACATGATGGATTTCAAGCTGCAACATGAAGGCTCTTTACTGTCTGCAGGCCTGCAGCAGCACATGGTGGTGCAGTGTGCCCACACAGAGACACTACAAGTAAATAACCACAAAACAGGGGTAACAGTGAAATGTAGTGTGGTAGTTAGGAAGGTTTGAGTTCTGAGCATCTGCTGCCCTTGATTTTTTACATAATTTGTGAATTTCTATAATTTTTAACAAAGGCTGTGTTTAACAACCAACTCCTGTAGTTCCTGAGAAGTAGACAAGTGGCTTTCATAGGCTGGTTCTGACCATCCCCAGCACAGCACTGCTTGTGCCTTTAGAAGAGAGAGGTCTGTGTTCCACTCCGGTTTCCCCCTTGTCAGCTGGGATGTGACCCCAGCCGGTGTGATTATGGGCCTCCTTTCACCCCGCGGACACAGCTACCTCATCAGTGACGGGAGAACAGGAAAGGAGGCCGAGTTCCTGGCCCCGTGGAGCTGCCGTGTCAGGTGTGGATGTCTCAGGAGCCTACTATGAGGCACAGGGGAAATCACTTCTCCCTTGTTTAAGCTTCTCCTGTTTTGGATTTGTTACAACCATCGGCTCTGTATTCTAACTAGATGTTAGAATTCCCTTGTTTGAGTGAGGAAACTGATGCTTAGGTGAAACTGCGTTCCCGACATCAGAGGGCTGGAAGTCTCTTACTCAGCACTGAAACCACATCTTTTAACTCCAAGTTCACTGTGGTTCCCATGACATCGTGTTGCAGATGAAATCAGTCATTAGTCCATGCAGGCCCCCAGCTGGGGATTTAACAGACATAAGGCTGCTCTTGACTGACTAGCGGTTTTGTCTCTGGAACTCTTTTACTAGTAAGTGGTAGTTTGGAGAAGGCGTCCGTGAAGGGGTGAGAGCAGGGCCCCTGCCTGGGCAGTCAGGGAGGAGGACAGAGGTGGCAGCGGTGCCCTCTCATGTCTGAAGCTTTATCAAACACAAACGAGGAGCTCGTTCCTGTGCTGCATGCTACAGGGATTAGAGAAATAGAGGGAAAAGGAATCGAGTATCCAAATATTTGCATATCCCACACGTATTAGCTTTAATGTCTTCTTATTAACATGCTTCAGGACCACATTTGATGACAGTAGTCTTTCAAGACCACGTGTGCCCAGGACCTGATTCATTCATAGATCAGACACTGAAAATAAATATGCTTTGTAATCATTTTTGAATTGAAAATTTCTAAGTTCTTGTAAAAAAAAATACATAATAAAATATTATTAGTATTTTCTTAAGCAATTAAACAGTCAAAAACATTGTGACGTCTCATTTAGCAGGGCTTTTCCGTGAATGAATTCTCTTTCCTTGTTACATGTGTCGGACTATGCTTATACATCAAAGGCAATAGTGATCTTTTCCCTCAAAATAACTATTTTCTGACATTAAAAATGTCTATGTCCTCTTTATATTTTGTCTTGGTCAGCCTAAATTCATCCTTAATCTCAGGGTAGATTATTTTCACTGTTGCTTCTCTAAACTCACACTAGCTGAAGACAAGTGGTTTCAGGATTCCCTTTTTTTTTTTTTTTTTCGGACGGGGAGCGGGCCTCCCACCGTTGTGGGCGCTCCCGTTGCGGAGCACAGGCTCCGGACGCGCAGGCTCAGCGGCCATGGCTCACGGGCCCAGCCGCTCCGCGGCATGTGGGATCTTCCTGGACCGGGGCACAAACCCATGTCCCCTGCATCAGCAGGCGGACTCTCAACCACTGCACCACCAGGGAAGCCCCCAGGATTCCCATTATTAAATGGGAATCCATTAGTATGACTGTGTTCTGCTCACTCTGTTGGAAGGGCAGGTGGCTGTATATTCCAGTAGCATACATTCCGGCATCCTACAGCTTTCTGTTTCCCCTTTTAGGAGAACTTATTTACTTCGGAGCTTTATTGTGTTGACACTTCGTTTGTCAGAGTCTTCCCAGGTTACACCTGTGTGGGTCACATTTCTTTTGGCTTCACTGGGTCTTGGGCTTTTGGCTAGTTGTTTATGGAGCGAGTCCCAGCCTTTGCTGCCACCTCCAAACCATGGCCACTGCCCCATCATCTCATAGCACAGGCTTTCTCGTCCTCCCCCCGGGGTGAGTGCTGGCATCTGGAAGGACTCTTGTGTCACCACTGGATGGAGACGCACAAGCTCCAGGCAGCCCCGACCTGATGGACCCCCTGAGGCTCTGGTTCCTCCCACAGCTTCTGGGCAAGGATGAAGTGCCGTGGTCCAGAGCGTGCCGTGTGGCTTCACCTGTGAAGGCCTGAAACGCTTGGGTGATGTGAGCTGGCAATGAGGAGTTCACGCCTAGTGGGCCAGACTTGGACCAATGAGAGACGGGAGGTGACAGGGAGCTGGACACACTTGTCCTCTCTTTGTCCTCTGATGCTATACACAGTCCACAGATGTCCTGTGTGGCTGGGCCCAGCTGTTTCTCTTTGGGAAGCAGTGGCCACCTGAGTAATGCATGACTTCATCTCTGCTTCCAGATATTCCCTACCTCTCTCCCCTTTCCCCTCCCCCTCCCCTCCCTCCCCCTCCCCCCTCTTCCCCCTGGGAATTAC